TCATGAACTACCTTTCTCCATTCAATTCTTAATTTTCATACCTCAAAAGTATCGTAACTTAAAAATTAATTTAAATAAATTTAAAAAAAGAAAAAGAGTTGAAGTTACTTTTGATTTGGAGTGTGATTTCAGGGTTATGAAATAACNTGATTTGGAGGTGATTTCAGGGTTATGAAATAACATAAAATTTCAAAATCTTACCTGATAATTTTTTCTTAGTTGTTATAATAACTTCAGTGATAATATTAATAATTGAAAATAAAATAACACATATTTAAGTTTTTAGTTCATAAATTAATACGTGAGAACTTCGACAATGACGATCACGACGTTCGCATAACTTAGTACAGAGCACGATAAGAACAGGGGAGAATAAGGATTTGCTCTGCCTTTTTATAATTCTTTTTACCCCCAAAAATAATCATTTTCTAATTCTTACAGTATAAATGTTTATTGATAAATAAGCATAAAATACAGAAATTATTATACATGAATGGAGTATATATATTATTTTGACATTTTATGTATAACCTTAACATAGTTTTTTACAAATAAGTTTAGGATTAATACAATGCATTTAATTATTAAAATTAGAATAACAAAGATGACAAAAATAATTTATAGATTTCTTTTTGGAATGAACAATTTTTAAAAGTGACTATTAATAAATTTATGATAGAATTGTGTGTATTATAATATAACTAAACAGTGTATGTTTGTTTAATGTTTATTTAAATAATTTTTATTTGAAAAGGATTATGTCCTTCTAAGAATATTATGTATAAATAACACATGTTATAGTAGTGACGAGTATATTTCGACAAAAGTTTGGTTTAAAATCTTGGTTATTATAAAGTAAAATATAATGGGAGAACACTTACATACTAAGGTATTTTTCTGTAGAAGATAGTTACAGTAATTATTCATCTTCAGACTAAAAAAATTGTATTTTTAACATGGAATTATTTTTATTTTGAAGATATCTACCGCCTTCGCCTCTTTGATTGTGTACTTGTTAAAGTATTCTTGATTATGCGACAGTCAATGGTCGCAATGTCACCAGTTATCTGTGGGTAACTAATCATTAGGATCCGGAATGAAATGCTTAAAAAGACATTAAAAATATTTAAAAACTTATAAATTTGTACTATCAAATTACCTTAACAGAAAAAAAATACTCTATAAAATGAATTTTTTTTTTTGTATTTATTGATTTAATTTTACTTTAAAAACATTTTTAATACTTGGTTTAAAATTCTTTTACACTTAAAATATACAGTATTTTAATCAAAATATTTTTACAAGCGCAATAAAAATAAAATATTTAGGTAGACTAAAATAATTTCTCGATTCCTTAAAAATAAATTCTTTATAAAAAATACAGATAATAAAATTTTTGAATTTGAACCAAACCACATTAAAATTATAATAATAATAAAGAAAAATAATTAAAACAGCAAATGTTTAAATTGCAGTCTATTTTTATACCTTTACACGCAAATAATGTACTACATTTTAGGTTAATTGTCTTATGATATCTGAAAAAAAAATATTTTGTTAATTACTACCATAAATATTTCTTTTATAATTGTATAATTAAAAATTTATAGAATATTTTTATAAAACTAAAACAATTTTAATTATCAATGCGATGATACAGAACTGGAACTATAATTTTTTTTAGATTTGAGATCTATAAAAATTATTGTAAGTACTAGATTTGGTTCAGGTTCTTTTCATATTAACAATAAGAACTAATATTTATGTAATAAATTTCAGTTCTTGATTATAAAGATCTTGGTCCAATAAACAAAAATTTAATCATATTAAACGGAAGAGACGTTTAAGATTTTTTCTGGGGTAGATGTGCACAAAAATTATACTCATCACCTTCTCCAAAATACATATTTTTATTTATTTTCGTCATAGGAGTTTCTATCCCTCATGAACCCCAAGTGAGAGCATTGGCGTCCTAAAGGTTGTGCAGTATTTCAAAAGTTATTAACTTTTTTATACTTTTGCAGGAAGAGGCTACGAAACGTCGACACGAGCGCAGTGTCCCTAGCTCGGGGAATCGGGCGCGTCCTCAGGTTGCGGATAGAGGAACGGCATGCAGATATGCAGGTTAGCCACGAAATAAGGAGTCCATTCATTTGATGGCAATGTACTTATAGAAATCGTAAAGCCCTGGCTGATCTTCACCTCACTAGCTGGCCTGAGGGGAGATACCCTGCACCTACGTCGGAGAGCCGGGTGTGCCTCCAGGACGGTGCGTCTCAGACGGATTACTGGTGGGACACGTACGGCCCACTATCTAAGGCCGTTGAGAACGCAGCATCCCCCCTCCGAGGCGGCAGCGGTTGCATACCCGCTTGTCCCCGCCACTAAAAAGCGGAGGAAGAATGAGGGGGTGGAAAAGGACGCTGGGTGCTCGATCACGGACTCTGTGGCGCTTTTTCCACCAAACGTCGCGTCCCACTGTCCGGCGACACCAGCAGCCCCCGCTCCGGCCACCCTGTGGACAGAGTTGGTGAAACGGAAGGTGGCCAAGAAAGTGGAGCGGGCGGCGAAGGCGGCCTCCAAGGCGAAGGTTATTGTTGGGCCCTAGGTCAAGCTCCCGCCACCGTCTCGAGGCCCGACTAATGCCGAACTTCAGGCCAAAGTCCCTAAGATGAAGGTGGTGGTAATCGGGCCCCTTAGGGAAGGTCAGCGGTACGTTACGGTCAAAAAGACCGCGATTACTACTGTTGACCTCAGAGCCCTGGGGGTCCAATTGGCGGGCACAAGGAGGACCCAAACGGGGGCCGTCTTCCTGGAGGTCCGGGGCTCGGGCGCCCAGGCTGACAGTCTGAAAGGCGCCCTAAAGGAGCATGACGTGCGAGTCCACCGTCCGGTGATAACCGTGCCCATCATGCTCCTCGATGTGGAGGAATGGACAGAGAAGGGCGAAGTGCAGAATACACTACTGGACGAGACCGAGAAATGTCTAGTGATAAAAATAGCATCATCCACACTTTACGTTTTGAAATAATTATTCAAAAATTTTTATCAACCAGCCATTTTTTTAATTAGATCATTATCTATTAAATTAGTTTGTTAATTAAGGGTGTTGCCATTTGAAAAAATTAAGTTGATACCTTTATAAGGTTCAACGGATGAACATTAAAAATACTTTATGATCGATAAATTGAAAAGTTATTAACATTTGTATACATAGGTGGGAAAGAAGTATCGCCGGTAAATGACTAGTGATAAAAAAACCGAATAATGGTGAATATTGTAGCACTACACACTCTATATTTAATTTTCTTCCTAAAGAATATTTTTATGTAGTAATAAAAAAATTATAAAACGTTAAAGACATTGAAATAAAAATTATTTTTAATTGTTTAACTATACATTTTTTTAAAGTTAAATCTGCTCTCATTAATGAAAACAAAGTTCCATACTTTTACATAACTTTTTTTGAAAAACATTTAAATTATATGTCGAAAATAAATTAATTTTTACAATTAATTACTGTATATATTATTTTGAGCAACTAAAATTTTAAATGAGTTTTATGAATGTGTTTTTGATTATATATGTTGTAAAGTTGGGTTGTAAAATTATAAAGTTAATATAAAACTATTGTATATTTATTATTAAAAAATTACCATCACATTTTACAAAATCATCTAGTATTTTTAATCTTTTTAAAATTCTGTTTTGTATTTCTTCGTCTAAACCATAATAAGAAAATAATATACGAAAATATTCCACAGAAATACATCCCTCGTTATTTTTCTCTATGTTTAAATGTACAGAAAACCATTTCATTCGGATTGTATATTGTTCATAAAAAGTTTTCATCGTGTCCTTTATAATTACATTATCTTTTTCTAAACGAACATAAATTAAACATTAATACAATTAAACAAATTTCTCAATGTTTCATTGTTTAGATATAGAATGATGTTAATTTTAAAATTTAATATATTTACATTTTCACTATACCAATAACTTTTAATAAATTTCAAAGAAAAATCAAAAACTTATTTATCAAGAGTTTAAAAATATTATTTAGTCACTTTGAATCATTTTATATTTCAGGAAAAGACTTAATGAACAATTAATCTGATTATCTAAGAATGATTTAAAAATTTAGTTTTAATTATTTTTAAATATATTTAAAAGTAGAAATTCGTTTATAACAAATTTTATTATTTAAGGAATGTAATAATAAATATATCTATACAATTGATCTATTAGTAATAAAACACTATTTTTTTAGAAACTATAACAATTTAAAATTTTTGAATGTTAAATATTTATTTATATAAAATACACTGGCAATCACTCTTTTTAAAAAGGTTATTCACAACAACAATTAACAAGAAAAATAAATACAAATATTTAAATATAATGACTATTGGTAAATAATATCCATTAATAATAAAATAAGTAATTACAAAAATTAAGCATTGAAAGGTTTGACAAACAATTATTTTTAAAACAATCATAAGACGTATCATCAAAATCACAATACACACAAATTGAATTGGCTAGTGTCAAATTTCTAGAGAAAAAGATCCAGTTGCTAAATTATTTATTTTTAAACTTAGGATCATAAAATAAAGATTAAGTTTAGCTGAGGTAAGAAATCCAACCAGAAATAGTAGTTCAAGGCAATAAATATTAAAATTTTTAAGATCGTAAATGAAAATAATGGAATTACATAAGACCTTTTCTAAAAAGTAGGAAACTAATAAGTTCTTAATGATCTATTTAATAAATATAATAAAGGTTTAATTATAACATAACAGCAAATTTTATGAAAATAGGAAATATATTGTCAGGATCAACTCCACAGTATAAGTGTTAAATAGATAAATAATCACTTACCTCATTATCAAATGATTGGCAACTATTAAAATTTAATTTAGGATTAATATTTAAGTTATAAACGGAGAAATAAGATAATTGAATATTTTAAAAATTCTTAACATATACAGAAAAGAAATAATCATAGAAAAAAGCAGCAGTTAACACGTTCAGAATTTGTATTATTATAGATATAATAATTTGGATTTTTTTTTTTTTTTGTAAGACTTATTTATATACGTCATTTCATAAGAGTTTAACGTTATTAACAAACTCATTTTAAATAAATAATTGTTAGCACATCGATTTGACATAATTTTACATTGCTTTCTAAGATCAAAAAATATACAATAATCCGTATACATTTTATTAAATCATTTATGTAATTAAGAATAGTCGAGTAATTTAAATCAAGACGCATTTTAGGAAAAAATATCTCTACTGTATGATTTTATAAAACTTATCTACAGCTAAATCTAAATCGACACATCTAAATTGTTCAAAAAAATTAATTTTACTTATAAAGTTACAAGGTTATCATAATTACACTTATTAAAGTTATACATCAATAAAATATTTGAATGCTGATAGTAACCACGATAAGCAAATGTTTCAGGAATACAGGAGTAACGAGAAGTAAAAAGAAAAGATTATAGAACACCATTAGATCAATTAAAGTCCGGCAAATTAAAATCACCACAAAAAATAAAAGATTACTTAGGATAAAGACGGATAACATAATGAATAGAAGAAACATAGGCATTAGAGGGAGACAAATCACTGTAAGGAGGAAGTTATATAGAGCTTATCTTCTTCTTCTTCCTAGCCTTAATCCCAACTACTTAGGATCGGCCACCCTTATCCCAATCTTCCACTTGACACGATCTCCCACATCATCTACGCTCACATCAGATATCCTCATATCGCATTCAATGCATCCCTCCATCTCTTTTTGGTCTTCCTCTACCTCTTCTTCCTTCAATAATCAAGATATAGAGCTTATAACAAAAGAATGAAAGCTAAATTAAAAAGAGACAAACAATTTTTTAATATTATTATCGGGTACGTTAATAAAAAAGAATAAATATCTAATAAGGAATTACGTAATGCAATTAGTCACTAAACGAACACAAACTGTTTAAAATTAACAGCCACAACGATAAACATTATAATTCGTGAGGCCAAGTTCTCTAGAATAAAATGAGTCATATAATGAATTCTGTGAGAAGTATAAAAATTAAATCAAAATATACATCATTACATAAAATTAAAGAACTTTGTGCAACAATTTTGATAAAAATCAAAATAGTTTACATTATTGGTTATCGTTGATTTCTTGAGGCAGACTTTCCGATTTTAAACGTGATTTTATAATTGAAGGTATTCTATTTATGTAAGCGGTAGTTGATATAGTTCTCACTCTCAACTAATCAACGATTTTGTTCTTGGTGACATAATTAAAGAAGATCTTGTTCAAAAGGAGTTTTATCGCGAATATTCGATATTGAGACGCTGCTGAGAATATACCTCTTAGCATTAAAGAAAGAGGATAAGACGCTTAATGCAACTAAATATAATTTTTAGCGGTTGAGATGAATTTGTAGAAACTTTACCTAAACGGACCAATATAAAATCGAAAGGTAAAAAAACCAAAAATAGCTATTATACAAGATTTCAAATATTTGATTTCATTCATAACAGATACGACTGACGAAGTAGATTCAGGTACACCATTAGCTATAAAATTGAAGCAGGCTCCCACGATCGGATAACTTCTGAAAGATTTTCGCCACCAATTTAACAGTCAATTTGTGGGGAATTTTCTAAATTTTTAATGTTATCCTTTAAAATCAAAATTTATTCACATAGAGTATTAATTTCAGCTTTAAGTTTAATTATTTGTGTGGATAATAAGGATAAATTTGCATGAAACTCATTGAATTGCGCAATGTAGGTATTAACTTCCTTTGTTTAAAGATTTGATCCTCTGTCTTTCAAAAGAAATTCATTGCATTAAGAATGAAAGTTATTATTAAGATTATTAATTGTAGGTATTGGTTGGTGGCACTGGTCACAACCTTTACCGTTATTATGTTATGTCATGTTGTTTTGTTAATTTTTGTTTATGATTGTTATGGCGTCGGCATTGATCTTTATTTTTCTTTCAAAAATNGTCGGCATTGATCTTTATTTTTCTTTTAAAAATACAACTATGTTTTTTAGTTAAATAGATTCAAATGGTTTTATTTTATTTTTTCCCTTTCACCGTTAGTGATCATTTTTTTTTGTTACCATATTTTATGGCCACCTACAATTTCGGAAGTGATTTTCAAAAATCCGTTTCCCTGATGGATTTGGATAAAAATCAAGCGCATGGCGATACAGCTCAGGAAGATCAACGAGTTATTACAAGTGATACTTTTGAAGAGCCCTCTAAATGCAATATGAACACTATGTTTCAGTTATAGATGGAACAAAATCGTTTATTATTGCGACTACTCACTCTTTTTAATACTACGAGTAACCAAGGTAATCAATTTTATGTTATTCCAGATCTTAACAATAGTATAAAACCATTTACGGGTAATGAGTCTCGATCAGAAGCAAAATATTGACTAAATACATTTAATGTAATAGCTGACATTAACAAGTGGTTTGATACTTTAAGAATTGAGTCTGTTCTTGCAAATTTGAATGTACCAATTCAACAGTGGTTTATGAGTCGTACTTTTTCTTCATGGAAAATATTTGAAAAACAATTTACAAGATCCTTTATTGATGATCAAAATACTACTAAATTGTGGCAAAATCTAGTCTTTAGAGTTCAATTAAAAGGCGAACCTACTATTGATTATTTTTATGAGAAGGTACGTTTTATTTTAATTAAATATATATTTGATTAAGTTACAAAAAAAAACAAATTAGAAGGTTTTTATTCACGTGACATGGTCACATACTTGTTGTCAAAACATCATAATGACACTGATAAAATGTTTAATCATATATTAACTTATAAAAATCTAAATAAAGTAAGTACAAAGCGGATAACTTTTGGCAATAATTTATTTAACTATTCACTAAACAGTTCAACTGTAATACAAAAAAAGGTTGAAGACAAGAGAATGATCAAATAACAATTAATGTGAAACGCTGTTTTAATTGTTATAGTACTTCTTACACTACTAGAAACTGTAATAAACCAAAAAGAGCACCAGGTTCCTGTTTTAAGTGTGGCTCAATAGAGCAATGACAAAAAGACTGCAATAACAGTTTGAAATCAAATGAAGAGAAAACTGATGAGCAATCAAGAATGATGACAGAAATTAATGAGTCAAGTCATCCACTGTATACACTGAATGTTAATATTGAATATCAAATGCAATATTGGACATTGGATGCAGTCATCAACTCAGTTGTTCCTTCTAATTTAATTTTAACTTCTGATACTCCTAATCTTTCTGGTATTAATAAAAGCCAATTAAAAGTATTAGGTATTTTTAAATTCAGTAATTTTTATCAAGTNGGTATTTTTAAATTCAATAATTTTTATCAAGTGTATAAATACTAAATTAAATATTTTATTTGTTGTTGATAATGGTACAATGAACTCAGACTGTTTGTTAGGTAGAAATTTTCTTTATGATAAATCTATTAAGTTTATCATTTAATTAAAGTTTATTTATAGAAAAAGTTAAAGATAATAATTTTATTTTTGATGATATTATGTTAATTGATATTGATAAGACTGAATCTATTAAATTATGTTTTAATAAAAATTTAAGTGTTGATGTCCAGAATGAGGTGAAGACAATTTTTAAAAATTATTATTAAAATTATGTTAACCTTATAAAACTTGATGCTTCTGTAGAACTTAAAGTTAAGTTAACTAAAGATCATGTACCTTTTTATTTTAGACCTAGGCGTGTGCTATTTAGTAAAAGAGAAAAACTTAAAATTATTATTAATGAATTATTAACTGAGAAAATTATTAGACCTAGTAATTCACCGTATTGCTCAA